AGGGTTTAGGGTTTAGGGTTTAGGGTTTAGGGCTGCGTGGGGTGTTCAAGCTGGCTTTCTAGGGTTTAGTGCTTGGCTTTAGAATTGTGGGGTTCGGAATTTTGTAGGCTTAAAACTTTTAGGGTTCAGTTTGTCTAGGGTTTAGGGTTTAGCAGCCCCAGGGCTCAGGTTTTACAGGTCTTTGAGGGTTTAGGGTTTAGGGTTTAGGGCTTTTGGCTCTAGGAAGAACTGTCTGCTGCTGCTTCGAACGCCGCTTTATCTTTTTCTCCTCTCGCCTGCAGCCCCATTCTTTACTTTTATTTTATTTTTAAATATTATTAATTTATTTATTTTTATTTATTTATTTATTAATTTATTAATTAATTTATGTATTATTTATTTATTAGGCTGGAGGCGTTTCTAGAGACTGCAGAAAACGTGCTGCTGCGCAGCGGCACTTTGCCTACGAAGACGCGCTGGGCGAGGCCGAAACAGCTAGCTGCTGAAGCTGCTGCTGCTGCTGCTTCTGGTTCTCCTGCTGCTGCTGCTGCTGCTGCAGCAGCAGCAGCTGCTGCTGCTGCAGCGGAGGGACAGTCCGGGAGCTCCCCCGACGCCACCGCAGCAGCCTCTGCAGCAGCTGCAGCAGCTGCAGCAGAGTCGCCCCCAGAAGCAGCAGCAGCAGCAGCAGCAGCAGACCCTGCTGAGCGGCTGATGCTGCGGCTAAATGCAAGGCGGCGGCGGCAGCAGCTGCTGCGGCAGCGAGCAGCAGAAGAAGCAGAAGTTGCTGCTGTGCTGCAGTCCATTCCTTTCAAACCCTCAGTGCCAACGAAGACAATAGAACAAGAGAGAAGAGCCAAACTCACTGATTTAGGGTTTGTAGAAGTTGTCGAATTCGCCAAACCCTGGAGGCTAAACCCTCATCCTGAAAACGGAGAAGAAACCCCCGACCTCTGGGCAGCAGTTATGGAACGTGAAAAGAGGACCTGGGTAAGCAGCGTCTAGGGTTTAGGGTTTAGGGTTTGGGGTTCAGGGTTTAGGCTTAGGGCTGTGGGTTCAGGGTCCGGGGTTTAGGGCGGAGAATGGGGGCCAACAGGGTCTACGGCGTAGGGTTTGGGGTTTAGGGTTTAGGGCTTGGCAATGGGAGGTGAAGAGGGTGTAGGGTTTAGGGTTTAGGGTTGAGGGTTTAGGGTTTAGGGCGTGGGAGGGGGGCGCGTGGTTCAGCTGCCAGGTCGGGCGTCTAGGGTTAAGGGCTTAGGGTTTAGGGTTTAGGGTTTAGGGTTTTGCTTCAGCCCGAGGGTTTGGTACTTGACGGTTTGTTGACTCGCGCTGACTGCACCACTTTTGGCTTCGACGAAAAACGCAAGGAGTTTGTGAAGCTGCTGGACAGATATGTAAGAAATAAATTAAATAAATAAACAAACAAATAAAATAATTAATTAATCAATTATAAATAATAATTAAAAATGAAATAAATGGATGGTAAAGACGCAGCTCGGGAAGGGGAAATAAACCTGGGGGCGCAGCAGCGCGAGGGTTTTTGGCGCTAGGGTTTAAGGTTTAGGGTTTGGGATTGAGGGTTTAGAGTGGCCGCAGCAGCGCGAGGAGTCGACCTCGCATGCGTTGGCCGAGGGTTTAGGGTTTAGGGCTTGGCGTTGAACAAAATGGGCGCAGCAGCGAGGGGGATTCAGGGGTTTAGGGTTTAGGGATTCAAGGGTTTAGGGTTCAAGGGTTTAGGGTTTGCGTGCCTGCAGGAGGAAGAGCTGGAGCGCGGCAGCGGCATATCTCTGGGCACTGTTATTTTCTTCTTGATGATTTTCATCAGATGGTATACGAGCTAGGGTTTAGGGTTTAGGGTTTAGGGTTAGGGTTTTGTGGGGTGAATAGACAGCTCGCAGCAGCAGCTCTACTCTGAACTCTCTTTTCGTAAACTCGCTTTCAGTCCGTTCCTTATTTGTTATTGGACTTAAATCTGCATCTATACTCTCTTTTAGGATTTAGGTTTTGGCGTTTATGTGCAAACGCGAAAGATGCGATTTGAGGCCCACTGAAGAAAACTGAAAAGGATCGTGGTCAGCAGCAGCAGCAGCGCAGAGCTGCTGCTGCTGCAGCAACACAGGCAGTAGCAGCAGCAATAGCAACAGCAGCAGACCTTTGTGCCAACAGCAGCAGCAGCAACTGCTGCTGCTGCAGCGTTTGCCACTGCGCACGATGCAGCAGTTGCAGCTGTGTACCCCGCGGCAGCGGCAGCAAGAGCAGCAGTAGCAAGAGAAGCAGCAGCAAGAGCAGCAGCAGCAAGAGAGCAGCAGCAGCAAGAGCAGCAGCAGCAGTGTCCACGTGTCTGTGTCTCCTTCCTTTAAACCACCAATTCGGGGTTTAAATTGAGGTGTATAGGCAGTTAAAATGAGTTGTGTATGAAGCACCTGCTGCTGCTGCTGCTGCTGCTCCTATTGTCTTTGCTGCTGCTACTCCGTGTGTTGCTGCTGCTGCCACACGCGCGCGTCAGCCAGGCTACCATCTGTTGCTGAGCGGCAGCAGCAGCAGCAGCAGCAGCAGCAGCAACTACAGCAGTTAAGAGCTAACGCAGCAGCAGCCATTGCAGCAGCAGCAGCAGGAGCTACTATTCGGTATATACTCCATAAGACAAAAAATGTTAAAACGAAGGCGACCACAGCCTCCTCATAAAACGACCTGCTGCTGCCGCTGCTGCTGCTGCTGCTGCTGCTGAAAGGGTTTCTGGGGCGCGGGCGCATTGCTTCTTGATGCTGCACGAATTGCAGCACCAGCAGCTGCTGCGGCAGCAGCGGCAGCAGCAGCAGCAAGCGAAGCAAAGGACTAGAACTGCTTCTGCCTTTGTGCTGCTGCTGCTACTGCTGCATGGTTGTCCAGCTCAGCAGCCTTCCTCTTGGCGCTCTGCGGCTGCTGCTGCTGCTGCTGCTGCTGCAGTTGTGGGGTGAGGGCGTCGCTGACTGGGGTGTCCAACGGCAGCACGTCCGCGGCCTCGGCCGCCGCTGCTGCTGCTCCTGCTGCTGCTGGCGCTGCTGCTGCTGCTGCTGCCAGCTGCTGCTCCAAACGCCGGTGCTTGCTCACAGGCTCCTGCAGCGCCTGCTGTATTTCGGGCCCCAACGCAGACTTCCTAATATGCCGCACCCGCAGCTGAATTGACCCCGCCAGCTTCGCCCGCTCCTGCAGCAGCAGCAGCAGCAGCAGCAGCAGCAGCAGCAGCAGCGATGGGGGGCGGGAGGAGCGGTTTGGGAAAAAAGGGGGAGAAAAACGGGCGGGAAAGCACTAAACCCTAAACCCTAAACCCTCGGACCTACCGGCCAGCCATTTATCAGCTCCACGAATTCCTGCGCACAAACCACCAAGCCCTAAACCCTAAACCCTAACCCCAAGATGTAAACCCTAACCCTGAACTACGAACAACCAAGCAAACACCAAAACCCCGCACCCCAATCTCTACAAACTGAGCCCTTAACCCTAAACCTTAACTCTAAACCCTACACCTAAACCCTGACTCTGAACCCTAAACCCTAAACCCTCACCGCAATTGCCGGCCTGAGATCACAGACGGCCTCGCCCGCCTTTGGGCTCGCGAATTTGAGAGCAATAAGCATTGAAGAGCTTTCGGGCCATTCCGGGTCCTGAACCACAAACCCTAAACCCTAAACCCTAAACCCTCAACACAGAACCCGAGCCCCCAAACCCTTAACCCTTTACCCTAAACCCTAGACCCTCAACACAAAACCCGAATCCCCAAACCCTAAACCGTAAACCCTAAACACTCGACACAAAGTCCGAACTCCAAACCCTAAACCCTCGACACAAAACCCGACCTACGAAACCCTAAACCCTAAACCCTGAACCCCAAACCCTAAACCGAAGGGGACGGTGCGGGTACCTGAAAGGGGAAGACGTTGGGGAGAGGCCTGATAAGCATGTTGAGGCTGCTGCTGCTGCTGCTGCTGCTGCTGCTGCTGCTGCTGCTGAAAGACAGCCGCTCGAGGGCCTTCACCAAATGCCGCACTTTCGACTCCACCCAGCCCTGCCACTTGCGGTGTACCTACAGCTCAGGGGCCACACACTATTTATTTATTTATTTTTATTTATTTTTATTTATTTATCTTTTGTTTATTTCTGCTGCTCCGTTTGCCCACATGGCAGCTGCCGACACGGCGGTGGATGAGAATAAATAAATCTGAAATAAAATTTCAAATCAAATTTCTTGCAATCTAAGCCAGCTGTAGCAGCAGCAGCAGCAGCTTTAGAAGCAGCAGCAACAGTAGCAGCAGCAGCAGCTTCAGAAGCGGCAGCAACGGCAGGAGCAACAGCAAGAGCGGCAGCAGCAGGAACAGCGAGGGTAGGAGCAGCAGAAACGACAGCGCCAGCAGCGGCACAAGCCCAACAAGCAGCAGCAGCAGCAGCAAGAGCAAGGCCAGCAGCAGAAGCAGCAGCAGCAGCAAGATTAGCAGCATCATCGGGACCAAGACCAGCACCAGCAGCGAGAGCATCCGCATCAGCAAAAGCAGCAGCAGCAGCAAAAGCACCAGCACATGCACGACCACCAGCAGCAGCAACAATAGCAGCAGCAGCAACAACAGCAGCAGCAGCAGCAGCAGCAGCAGCGTACCGCCTCTGACTTTGCTAAGATTTGCAGCTGCAGAAAGTGGGAGAAAAGGGAAAGGTAATCGATGGGGGCCAAGACGCGCAGCAGCAATTCCCGCCAGGACTGGAGCGAAGGTGCTGCTGCAGTTGCTGCTGCAGCAGCAGGCGCTGCTGCTGCTGCTGCTGCTGCTTCGTCCCAAGCAGCAAACTGCTTTGCTGCTGCTTCCAGCTCCTCAGCTATTACCCTCTTCGTCGAGTGCGAAACATTATGAGTTGAGTTCATTGCCGGAAACGCAGGGGTTATGATCTTCAGCAAATGGTGCCGGTCCTGCGCACCTAAACCCTAAACCCTAAACCCTTAACCCTAACCCCTAAGTGCTAAACCCTAAACGCTAAACGCTGAACCCTAAGCTTTGTGCAACACCAAATTCGAAGCGTTAAGTAGCACGTCCATCCCAAAACCCTAGCGCTAGGGTTCACTGAAAGGGTTTAGGGTTTAGGATTTAGGGTTTAGGGTTCATTTGTGTTCTCTCTTCACCAGACTGTAATTCAAGCATTCTCTAACTTGACAAATACCTCAAACTAACTCCTGCTTCCACCCCCTTAGGGTTTAGGGTTTACTTGCCAACAGCATCTAGGGTTTAGGGTTTACAACACCACCTACTTGCTAAGCCCTTAAACTTTAAAAGCCCCAACCCCCCAAAGCCTTTGTAACTACAGAACCCCCAAACTCCACGAATACCTCAAACCAGCCGCTGCTTTCACCTCTCCTAGGGTTTAGGGTATAGGGTGTAGGGTATAGGGTATAGGGTTTAGGGTTTAGAGTGTTAGTTCATGCGGAGGGTTCGAGAGTTGAAGGGCGGCTAGGCGGTTATTCGCGACGGGAATCCGGAAAGGCGCGCAGGTCAAGCGGGCGGGGGTCGGTTTAGGGTGTAGGGTTTAGGGTTTAGGGTTTGCGGACCTGGGGGTAAATGTGGGGGTTCCAGACCTTGAAGGCGGCGAGCCCCTCGAGGCCCTTCTCGTGGTGGCTGTACTCGGTGATCTTGCAGAGGCAGACGGGACTTTTGTTCCAAGTCCACTGGGTGAAGAGTTTGAAGAACTTCTGCACGAGCTGGCTGGGGGGCAAGTTGGGGAAGAGCTGGCAGCACCGCGCCGTCAAAATGGCCCAACTAATGCCCCCCAAGTAGCCGCAAACGTTGCTGTAGACGCCCCGCGCAGCGGCCCAGAGGCGCACGAAGCGCAGCGCCGTTTTGAAGGCCTTGGTGTTGGGAACGAGCTGGAGAATTTGGTCCGCGACTCTGCTGCCGTTGAGGCTGCGGGCCGTGCGCTCGTCCGCATGCAGCAGCAGGCGGTCTGCATGCAGCCCCACCCAGCTCTGGGGCACGGCCTTGAGCGGCAGCCGGGCGAAGAGCAGGTCGATGGAGGTGGAGAGGAAGTTGAACTTCAGCACGGGCGTGTAGGCCTCGGGAATGGGAGTTATTTGGCTCGCGCGCGGGTCTTGCGACAGCTTGGAGGCGAACACTGTGAAGAACGCCTCGCGGGAAACGTGGCGCGGACATACGCACAGCGCGTCCACGTCGCTCCCGGGTGTACATACACCCAACCGGTACGACCCGAACGTGAAGATCTTCCCGCCCGCCGCCCGCGCCTCCTCCGGCTCCAGTCCCTGCGCCAGTCCGCTCTCGAAGATCCACTCCGCAACCAGCGCGTTCAGGGCCGCCAGCACCCTTTCTTTCAGCAGCGCCCCCGCTGCGGTTTCGTAGGCCCCCTTCGCCCGCAGCAGCCGCACCAGCTCCACGCTCTGGTGCAGGTCCGCCGCCAGCGGGCCCCGCAGCGACAGCGGCCGCGTCAGTCCGAACGGGTACGGGCTCGCCTGCGTCACCCGCGGCTCGCAGCCCATCACGTACGCCTCCAGCGACGCGCACAGCGGGGGCGCGGGGCCCCCTGCTGCTGCTGCGGGGGGGGGGGCTGCGGCG